TGGGGAAGGGGGGCACGGAGCCAGGCGGGGGCGGGGAGGGGGTCCAAGGGACGGTGGCCTGGACGAGGTGGGGGGATAGGGACAGGGGGACACGAGGTGTTCCCTCTGCGGCGTCACGGTGGCCAAGGGAGAGGCGGCTGGGTCCGTTCGGGGACCTCGGTCATGCGTGTGACCGTGCTCACTTGTGCACACTCGTACCCGTTTGTCCATGTTTGTTACACGCTTGTACACGCATGTGTGCACAGAGCAGTGAGCATAGCGCGTGTGTGCACCCTCGATGACCGGAGCAGCCCCGGGGAGGGGGCAGGGACACACGGCTGGGCACATCCATCCGCACGGGACATCTCGGCCCCCTGTCCTCCCAGGGAAACTGAGGCACGTCGAGAATGCCCCCGGGGTCTCGTCCCTGCCCCGCCATGGGGCTCCCGCCACCTCCGCAGCTGGTTCTCACGTTTTTCGGGAGGGCCTGTCACAACCACTTACGCAACCGCGTGTCTGCGAGCGCCGCCAAGGCAGCCCAAAGCGAGCAGGGGGAGCGCGGGGGGGCCCGGGGTCCTCCCTGCCTCCTGCCACGACAAGAGTTTGGCAGCGACGGGGGCGTGACCCGCCCTGGCGTGGCTGTGCCAGGGTGGCACCGGTGCCCGGCTGTCCCATGTGTCCCCTCCCGTGACACCACCCTGGCCTGGAAAACGGGCAGCGGGCAAGACGGGGTCACTTGGGGACACGGCTGGGGATGGCGCTTGTCCCTGCGCCGGAGCTGGTGGCACCGTGGCAGCCTTGGCAGTGGGCATAGGGTTGGCACCGCAGTGCCCTGCAGGCACAGGGAGACTTCCACGGGGCTCTGTGTGCCAAGGGATGCATGTGTGTGTGTGTGCGTATGGGTACATGTGTGCACATGTGTGTACATGTGTGTGCACCCCCTGTGCTGGTGCCCGTGTGTCCGCCCAGTCTGGCCGCCGGCACCCACCTGGCGATGCGGATGTTTCTGCCTCCAGTGGGGATTTAATTCCACCCTTTCCACGGCTGGTGTGTAATTAGGAGACCAAAAGAAGCCCCGGGCACCATTCCCCTCATCCCCTGGGGGGGGCACCCACCCAGCACCCTGGGCTGGGCTCAGGGGGCAACACCTGGCCCCGAGGGGGTGAAGGAGCCCCGTGTCCAGCAGCAGAGACTGACAAACTCAGAGTAGCCAGGACGAGGTGTCTCGCCTGGCTGGGGGGCTCTGCCTGAGCAAGAGGCTGATTTTGGGGGGTCCCCACCAGGGCATGGGAAGACACGTGGTGGCAAATCCTTCGTTAAACCCTTGAGCTAATTATGGGGCTGGAGCTGCCTGTGACCCCTGTGGCAAAGCCCCCGTGCCTCAGGCGGCCCTAAACCCCTTAGGGGGATTATCCTGCTTAGGGCACCCCACAGGTCATCCCCCCCCGACCTCCATTTCTCTAACCCCCCCTCCCAAACTGTCCCCTTGTCCCCCCACCCACATTCCCTCTTCCACCACCTCCCCATCTGCCCTTGGGCCACTGATGCCACCACGGTGCCGGGGGGTACAGTGTGGAGCACCCCTTGTGTCACCCCCCAGCTCAGCCCGGCACAGGGCTCAGGAAGCTGATTGGATTTGGGAGCTTATGGTGCTGAGCTGGCAGCTCGATGGCTCTTCACACCTGCAGGGGGATCTTGTGCCTTCAGCCTTGCTGCCTCCTCCTCATCCTCACCTTGGCCTGGGCAGCAGGGCACAACCCCAGGATGTGCAGGGCCCCCCTGTGCCAACCTGGGGATCCCCTGTGTCACCCCGAGCACTCCTTTTGTCACCCTGAGCATCCCATGTGTCACTCTGAGAAACCTCTTTGTCACCTTGAGCACCTGCTGTGCCATCACCCTGAGCACCATTCTGGGCATCCACTGTCACCCTGGCACCCCATCTACCACCCTGAGCACCCCCTGTGTCACCCCAGCCACCTACTGTTACCCTGGCACCCCACCTGCCACC